GATGGTGACGCTCGGGGTATCCAGGAACAGTCCCTAATTGTAAGTAGCGCATTTATTACGTAATCTGTAAGAAGGTACCGTGTCGGGGAGGATCTTCAAGGAGGACGTTTATCTACCGCGAAATTGACGGTCTTCAGGGGTCGGGACGGTGCGTAGCGCGCCGCGAGACGAGTCCTGACATCTTACGTAGGCCTAGTTAATCATCTAGCGCCAAACGGTCTCGCGTACGCGGGAAGAGTCTAGCAAGGGGTTTCCTAATTTCTGGTGGTCCTGCCGGCGCCCGGACCCGCATTGTCCTGGATACTCCGAGCGCCGACGGACGTGTTACTGCCGACCTGCTACCGTCCCGGCTACCGTTGCCACCTAAAAGAGAGCCGCTAACGTCTCCGTACCGCTGCTACCGTCAAGGGTGAGCAAACCCACAAGGGATTATCGTAGAGTCCGTTTCCGTTTCGTCCGTATTGTGATGTTAAAGTGATCCTCCTCGGCGCGTACCTCCCGGCCATTCGGTAATGGCGTCGGACCGCGTGCGCCGAACGCGCAGATAGTTAATTCCCGCGTTTTCGACCGGTTCGCTCTCGTTGCGATTTATGTTCGTGTATCGTCAAGTGATCCCGCGGCTCCCGAAATAGTCCTGGTGGAAGGAATACTCGCTGCTTCCGGAGTCGAGTTGTGACGGGCCGTGAAGCGAGCGGAGTTGTGGAGAGCGTTGTGCTCTGGAGGGTAGGCCGTGCTTCCCGTCCCCCGGGGCCGTGTAGCCCCCGTCGTACCGTTTTATGCCGGCGGGATCCCGAAGTCTATGTCCGAGTTACCGCAAATGTTCTTACGTTTCACCTGCGTGTTAATAAAGAGCTACCGGGTCGCCTATTCACAGAACGTCGGAGGTTTTGGTTTTATTTAGCGTTTCTCCCTAGCTTTTCGGACAATCCCGTGAACTCCGAACCCCCCGTCTCTACCGTGCCGCGGAAGGTCCCAAGGACCTCCACGGGGCTGGGTAGCCGGCGATCGGGGGCCGAGTCTAGCTCCGCGATGTGGGCCTCGCCCGGCCGGGAAACCGCGGGCCGCAGCGCGCTTCACGCGCCTGACGCCCTACAAAAAGTGGCCCTGCGTCATTCGGGCGAACCCCCGCCAGCCGACCTCGCGGAGGGCTTCGTTATCGGTCCCGATCTGTCCCCCCTGTTTGCCAGCGCGCCCTGAATTTCCCTAAGCGCGTTGCAGATAGTATACCCGAGGTTATTTCTTAAGGTCTTACAATATTAACATTTAGTTCACTACTAAATACCGTTCCAAAGTATACTAGGTACCGCCGAGGTCTTTTTTTTTTTTGTAGTACCGTCCTGTTAATGGTTTCTTATTAGCGGTCAAGGTTTTGGAATCATTTAATGTGTAGTTTCCCGACCGGGATTGGCTTAGTTGTTTATTCGGCCAAGAGGAAGGCGCATTTTGTTAATTCCCGAATAAATCCCGTGGCTGGCTTAAACTCCCTGTGCTTTACTCCTGGTCCTTCCCGTTATGCGATTGGAGGTCTCTTGGGTTGCATGAGGTGCTCCTATAGCTTCCGTATGCTCCAACTTCCCTGGGGGAGGAATTTATGACGTGGCAAAGTTTCGCCCGTCACAAAAGGAATTTGTTGTGCCTAAGCGGGGAGGAGTCCCTTTGACTATCATTAAATTAAGAAATTTTTGTTACAATTAATTCGAGAAATATCTGCGATAGACTCAGCTATGTGAAGGCGCGGAGCATATCGGCGCATGAGTGCCAACTTTTCGGGACCACGGAAAGAGCGCAGAGCCCCGAATTTGGAGGTCCTGCTGCCATCGGCCGGCGCTCGACCTAATTAGCTGGTCTAGTAACCCATTTTAGCTATTTAAGAGGGGAGGTCGAAACCCGGTAACGAGTTCCACGAGGCCCGCCAGGAGGACACCGCCGTTGGAGCGGAAGATCTGGCGGAACCGGCTTTGCCAGGGGGACTCTCGGACACCGGGAACATTTCCACCGATCCCGTCTCGCTTCACGGCAGCGCTTTTCCATACAGGCTAGACTTCCCGAGGGGCACTGTATCGTCCCGTACCCGAGAGACGCCGTCCCGTCTTGTTCCCGAGGAGCTCCATACTGTTCGCCTACCAGAGGGTGCCGCTATGCTGCCGTCTTCGCGAAGAGTCCCGCTCCCGCCGAGCTATTACCGTAATAGTGAGCCCGAACCTGCTCAGGGTGCCTCCTACACCGCCATTATCGTCTCATACTGTCCGAACCGTGAGTCGTCCCCGTCCGCGAACTGATTGGAGTCCGATCTACCTTATAATTCCGAACCATTGTCTGCTACCGGTCGCTTTCCGTATTTCCGCGAATGTCGCGGCGTACCAATCACTTCCGACTCGCGTCTGTCTCGCCGAGGTTCCGTGCTTCCACGTGCGTGTTCCGTTCCCTGCCTGCGTCGTCAAAAGGTGCGGGAAAATCCTGACGCCGCTCGGAGGGTGCCGGCTTCCCGTAGTTTTCACGTATCTGTCGGTCCGGGAATCATGTATCGTTTTGGCGGTTAGTCGCCATTTTCCGTGTTCAGGCGGCACCTTTCGATTCGCGTATGCCGAGTTAAACTTCCGTCGGGTAGCGTCCCGCTTTTATACAGGTTATCGTCGGAGGAGACCCTTGCTCGCCTCTTTATATCGTGCCGTTTACTTTCTCGTATTCCCAGGAATTATCGCGGCTGCGTGCACGCAGGTCAGGATGAGCGAGGGTAGCGGTGCTATACCGCACGCTGACGCCATTATCGTATGCGCAGTTAGCGGGCGCCGGACCCTTATCGAGGCACCTAGGAGCCATAAAATGTTTCGACAAGGCGTTGTGCACCATCTAGGACCCCTACCGAGGGATACCCGAGACATTGATCACGAAACATCACGTTTTTTGGATTTGTTAATTCCCCCTAAGGGTCCGCTCCCTTTGACAGGCACCCCTTTCTCCCGTTCTAATTTCTGTGCCGCGGGCGCGACCACCTGAGGCAATAAATAAGATTCCGTCGGGACTGTCTATCGCAGGGCACTTCTCTGTTAATTGTTATTAACGAACTCTTTCATTTCGCGGATTCTGAGAACGGTTCCTCCTCACTCATCTTGTGCCGTGACAAACTCCCAACTCTGCCGTGTCGGGAAGGGCGTAAGGTCTTCCCGAGGCTGAGTAGCCGGTCGGATACGCCCGGGCTGGCCCCAATTATCGGACCGGGTCGGAGTGTTTTGGCTACTCAGCCCCGGAATTCCAAGGTGCGCGCGGGCGCATCTGGCGCTTTGATATAAATCGGGTTTCCGGAAGGGCCAAAGATCGGACGTGACCCCTTTCATTGCCCAAGGTCCGGGCGTATGATTGTTTGACGACGAGGTGATAGGTTTTCCCGTCGCAGTACGCAAACTCGTGAAATTGAAGCAAAATTTCATTATTTAAACATCTGTTACTTCACCGGATTACGTGGAGATCATATATTTGGAATAAGAATGAGACAATACTGCCACGAAAAGTTGTACTGTCGGTAACGCCCGCCCAAAAGCGTTACCTTATGAGAGTGGTGGTTGGAATTATCAACAGCACGTCTACGTATTGGTAGTACGTGTAGATGGCGTAGCGATTAGTATTTCATTTTTATCGACATTATCTACGATACAGTCGGCCACACGAGAGTTTCTCGTCGCCTTTCATCTCCTCTTCATTCTTTATAAGGTCGAAATGGGCGGTATCTTTCATACTTTGAAGACTGAAAATATATTGGTGCTACCAATGATATTAATCTTATTGCACGGGTTGTTCAGTTCCTTTTTCCTTAAAAAAAATAATCTGATTACATGTATTAGTTATGTTTTTTTATGCCTTCATAACTGGTCGGAATAATTAAAAAATTCTCCGGACTAGCTAAGCAATCGTCTTACTGCTCTTAAAATAATGACAATGAATCATCCGGGTTTCCGTAAACTAACGGTAGGTACAACAGTTTAAGTCAATATTCTACTTTCATGTAGAAAAAAGCGTTATTGTTAACATAACGTTTTTTTCTTCCGTTTAATGTTTTCAGTTTTTTATTTATATAACTTTACATATTGGTTTCCATACATTTGTCGTAATCGTTGATTAAGTTCCTCCATTGAAATTTTGCACATTTTTGAAATATCGTGGACGTTTCTCGCTAGAACAGTGCACGTTTATATGTTATTCTTTTTTATATTAAAAAGTCGCTTATTCTTTAATACAGTGGGCATTAGTAAAATTGGACAAGATTAATTCTGTATGGTGACATATTTTATATACGTACAAGTTGATGAGAGATGTCTAGAACTTAAGATATTCGACTTTTTTTCTAAACATGGAACCATTTAAATAACATTTCTGGAGTTGTTCACCAAATTTATTTTTATAGTGGTACTTCTGCCATGAGACTGATGTATTTCATAATTTCGACGTAGATTTTTCAAGTTCTACTGGTCTTACATCTTCTGCTAAAAGTGCGTTTAAGTCCACATCTTGTAGATTTACAAGTTGTTGATTTGAGCCTGAAAAATGTTTCAATAGAAAATTAGAATTATTCATGTACAAAATCATAAATATGAAGGGCGTTCTTTTTGTATTGTATGAATACGTAGATCGATCTAAAAACAAGAAAAAAATACTCATCGCCAGAGAGATAAAAGAAAAAACATTCAGGGTATTACTTAAGCAGTTAAAATAAAGAAAATAAGTATTTAAAGAATTGTTTACAACATTAACTGCATGAAAACCAAATACTTCTAATTTTATTTAGCTGTTTACTCGGTTATTATGGAAAAAAAATTAAGCTACATAAAAATCCTTCCAGACATTTTTATAAAAATCATACTGGTTTTTTAAATTAATTTCAAGTTAATTGTTGCAAATTTTACAATTTTAATATCAAATTAGTAATTACAGAATTAAAATAATTATGGTAACATTCTGTTATAAATCATTTCATTTATTGTACGTTTTGTTCAATTGTGAATTAATATATGTCGGCAATTCATACGGTATTCTAAATAAATAAGTTTCATGCAAAAATTATTATCATATCATAGTCACGTAGTAGCATATAAAGTAAGCAATTGTAATGAAATAATACGGATAATCATAAGCGTAAATCTTTATGTGGGGCATTATTTATTATTGTCTCCACCTAAAAATTTTAAGCTTTCTGATTGGATTACAATAAGGGCATGTTTTAATCCTATTCGATAGAATTGTATACATCAAGTCATAGGTTTATAAAAAAAATTAAAGTGCGCATGCGCAGAGGTTAATGTTTCGTCTTTTACACGCACACTTTTTACTTTGAACAACTAGTACAAAAATATGCAAAAATGACCTTTGTTGTAGATCTTCGGATTCGTCTTTTCACTCATTTTTCGGTCGTAAAAAAATTAATGTTGTAAAATTAAAAAGTATGCAAACATTTTTTAAAGTCAAAATTAAATTTCATTTTATTTTCGACGATTTTGTTTTTCTTCTAATTATTCTCCCTCCACTCGTGCACCCGGTCTGCTTCCTGTTGAAAACGTCACATGTATCCTGCAAATGCCTACCTTTTGATCTATATGCACAGCATACTAATAATTTCTCTGAATTTTTATTGTTCGTTTTTGTATGTAAATACGTGTAGGTACTGAATACTTTGGTAACATATTCTAATTTTATTGAAGTATTTTGTTTGTACGATTTTCATCCATGTAAAAACGATCCACCCGGGATTTCTGGTAAATCGAGAGGTCGCACAGTGTCAATTTAAATATTCTTGTGCCAAAAAGCAATCTTCAGCAACAATTGGAGGAGGATTTTCTTTTTTCTTTGCTAACATTACCGTTTTTTTCTAATTTTATGGTGAAGAAACTATACAACGAATCAATGTGAAATTTGGCATGTAGATTTATTAATATGTTATATATGCATAAAAAAAATATCAAATGATTCCCCCCAAAAATACGCCCCCCAGGCCCCTCGACACTCAATGGTCCGCAGTCGATGGCGTACACGATTCCAGTCTTGTCATTGATCCTACACAAAAACCCAAGAACATTTTTACTTCACACACATGTAGCTATCGTTTGATGAAGGGAAAAAAATTAAAAAAAAATTGAGGACCGGCGACGTTTTAAACCCGAACTATAGATTAATCCGACAAAATTAACCGATCTTTTTGCTGTAAAGAAAAAAATATTTAACGTACAGCTTTTTTGGTTCAGCAAACGATAAAAGGATGTCGACTAAGCATGATGTCCAAATTTGAAGACAATTGTTTCAACAGTTTTTTAGATATCGTGCATACCAGTTGCAAAAAAGCTGTTTCGAGAAAAACGCGTTTGTTATCGGGCGTTCCGACCTCTCCACGTTTGCCGCGGCAACCGTGAGTCGGCAAGCAGGTATAAAAACGCTTATAATTTGGTCATTTTTGAGACTTTTGATTTCAAATTTGGCATACATATTCTTAACGTCGTGAAAGAATAAGAAACAACGGTCGCAGAAAAATCGATTTTTTTTTCACGAAAAAAAATATCCCCCCTTAAACATTTTTGTTAGTTTCAGAGTTCTACGTAATCTTATCTTAAATTACCATATAATATGAGGCTTGTTCAATGCATTTAAGTGTGATTTTGGACAGTCAAACAGAAATTACAAAAGATTAATCGAATATAGGCATTTGATTCTTTAATATGTAACGTGCAGGCCCGGCAACCACAGTTGAACTGCGCGCCGCCATACATACGCCGCCATACACCGCGCCCGAGCGACGCCGAGGAGCGCCGAAGACGGCCGAGGGCCGAGGGCCGAGCGGGACGAGTCCGCCAAGGGACTTCCGCCCCGACCTCATGCAGGAAAAGTGCGTGCCCGAGAGATTGAAGCCTTCGTTGCGGTAAAAACCCGTCTGCCGCTGTTCTGCCGAACGTGCCCGCTGCCAGCCTCCCACTCCGGCCCGCTGCGAAGGCTCCGCCATCGCCGAGTCCCGCCGTCCACCTGACCCACCAGTGGACTGCCGCCACGAGGCGACCTCCATTCCCGCCAGTCAACGCCCACGTGTGCGCCCCGGTAGAGTAAGTGACTTTAAGTGAATAGGTTAAGGTACAGTAGATTAGTTACTGAGGTTAAATAAAACGAAGTATTTTCGATCTACGTCCTCCCTAATCCCTCTCTCCCCCCTTTCTCTCCACCGCTTTTCATTTTCGCCATTATAAATTGGCGCCTAACCACTAATTCACGACCCCCCTCACCCCCATCCTACTCTCAACCTAAAGAGACAGAAATATAGAAAAAGATAAAGATATAAGTATAGAAAGAGATAGAAATATAGAAATATAGAAACATAGAAACATTTTTTTTTTATAGATACACAAACATAGAAATACTGGAAGATAGAGATTTAGAAGAACAGGAATAGAAAAGTAGGTATAAGAATTCAAAAATAAAAGCAAAAATAAAATACATAGACACAGGAATTACACACATAGAACTCAACACTATATAAATTAAATAGAACACGGGACAGGATTCCAACAGCGAAAATGGACGAAACGGAACTGACGAGACAAAAAACACAAGACGACACCAGGACGGAACGTAATAACAACAGTGTACAGTCATAGGTCGCCATACATATCGAACCAACCGAGGAACAGACTGTACAAATAAGAAATACGCCAATCGACACGGACGACACAGACACGAAAAACAAGCTAAGACGGGAAAGACAAGAATTACAGAAAAAGGTCAAACTCCTACAGGACACACTAGAACAACATACGACAGAGTTACAACGACTGGAAATCACACGACACAGACGACGAACCCTCAACCGAATTAGACATTAATTCGGAACAGATCAGACAACGTGAAATCCATAACACCCGCACGCAACAATTCCCTATCACGTACCAACCACATACCCCCGCAGCACATCAAACACACATGTTCACAAAAACCACACCGTTACAGGAGCATCACATGTATATACCCCACACGACGATTCCCTCAACTAGCCAACAAGCAAATACACCACACACACATTCACACACACTACCCTACCCACAATATAACATTACGTCTACAGAAACACCACACCCACACTACACAGCACCCGATTAATACGAAACATACTCACACCACACATACACAATCGTATACAATGCTCCAACATACACACCACCATATCAAGCATACAAACCCCCAATCCATATCATTAACACGTTCAACCCAGCGAATTTTTTGCCGCCAGATGAAAGCAATGCCCGTGAACCACCGGTGGTTCACGCCGGGTTGAACGTGTTAATATCTGGAAAATCACATACTCAGGACAGACACACGAAAACTTACACACCTTCCTCAACACAATACGGCAACTACAACACAGTTACTTACTAGCAGACAATCAACTACTAGACAATATATTCATACTATTCAAGGACAACGCAAAACGATGGTACGACATGCACCGCCGACAATGGAATTCCTTTTACGACTTCGAGGAACATATACGAAACACATTCCAAGGACCGGACTACATAAATATCCTAGAACAAAAAATCAGAACATACACCCAAAACCGAAACCAACCAATTACAGAATATCTACTACAACTACAAAGCCTCGCACATCAACTCAAACCCCCCTTAACACCCGACAAATTATTATACAGGGTGTCTTACGGGAAGTTGCTGAAACTAAATAACTCTCTTCCCCCTCCACCATCTGAGTATGATTTCTCTATTTGATGGTCATATGCCTGAGCGTTGGTAGTTTCATTTCAGACGCTGTAGAGCTACGAATACGTGCGTCGAAATGAGTGACCTCACAACTAAAGAAAAAGTATATCTCATTGAGTGCTTCTACTCTAGAGGTAAAGTGTATGCAAACGTGTATAGAGGATTTAGAACTAAGTTTAGACAGCATAGAGATGCTAGTGAAAACACTCTAAAAAGGTATGACAAAAATTCTTATTCGTGTTCATGTTTTGTCTCATGAATTTTTCTAACTGAATTTCACTTAAATGCGCTTTTCTGCAGGATTATTGACAGTTTAATACAGTATGATACTCTTCAGAGCCGTAGATGATGCTCCGGGCCCTTTATATACAGTTGTGACGGAAGAAACAGTGGATGAAGTAGAAAAATATTTCTCAGAAAATCCAAATTCCACCATCAGAAAAGCTGCTCAAGTACTAAAAATTTCAAAATCTTCGATACACGGGATTGTAAAAAACTTTTTGAAATTACATCCATATAAAGTAACAACTCATCAGTTATTAACAACAAGATCTATAGAGACACGTGTCAAATTCTGCAAAACCATAACAGAGATGTTTGAATCCGGTGAAATTGATGAAAATACAATTGTTTTTTCCGACGAGGCTCATTTTTGGTTATTTTGGGAATGGATACGTGAATAAACAAAATTATCGGTTTTGGGGTACGGAAAATTCTAATATTTTGATATCAAAATCTCTTCATCCAGAAAAGGTAACCCTATGGGCAGCTTTGTCCATAAAAGGAATTTACCTATATTTCTTCGATTCAACGGTCACTGGGGATAGTTATAAAGAGCTGTTCGAGACAAAGTTCTTCCCCTTTGCAAAGAAGAGGGGTTGGGTTAAAACTTTTCATTTTATGTAAGATGGAGCAGCGCCTCATCGCACCAAAGAAGTGTTCGAGGCTATTTGCAATGTATATGATAATCGAGTGATTGTTTTAGGATACCTTAAATTTGCTCAATGAGGAATTGAGTGGCCACCATACTCCCCAGATTTAAACTCATGTGACTTTTTCTTATAGGGTTACATTACAGATCACTGTTATTCTGAAAATCCAACAACAGAAAAATTAATGAAAGCTATTAGAAAAACTGTAAATAGTATATCAGATGAAATATTAAGTAAAGTTTTGTATAGTTTTGAATTTGAAAAAGAATTGATTGTTGCTCGAGTGGTGATGGTGAACACTTCGAAAATATTTCTCATTAAATTTATCGATTTTAAAAATGTAAAATAAATGTATTAAAATATTGTTAATCATAATAAATTTATGCATGAAAAAAAACCTCGAAGCGGGACCTCGCACAGTCAACAACTGCGGAAGATAGCTCGAGTTCTGCCACGTCGACCGCCTCCGAACTGCCAAGCTTTCGCAGTTGCGATATCATATTTGCAGCACGAATAAGTGCAACAAGAACCCATTCATCGAAAAATACTACAAAATCTAAAACCCTACGCGAGCGGATGCCGAAGCTAGATAATATAAAGTAAGTAGCCTCCAACACCAGTATAGCAATGCACCAGGAACAAAATAAAACAATCAAATTCACTCAGAAATCGAGTATAAGTTCGACAATAGGCGAATAACAGGATTCCGAAATACTACGAACCTGAGTCAACCCGTTCCCACTCACACCTTGGTGTGGGTGAAAACGGGTTGACTCAAAAATCCTTTTTACCCGGATTCGAGGATCAACATCTGGCATACTCTTGAGTGATAAACCATCAGTTTGAGAATTCACTTCCTATCCAAACGAAAATCCGTTTTAGAAAAGTGAAGACGATTCGTCGGTTGTAGTTAACTAGGGAATCATGACACATTCGAGATATCGAGACTCGAATTCGACTCGGAATTTCGACCCCGATCAGCTGAGCGACCGAAGCCGAGACTCACGCAAGAGGCCTCCATTGTGCATCCATTGCCTGCGCGACACGAACCATCGCGATCCTTCATTCGCATGCCTGCCCCTCTCTTACTCGGATCTTCGCACCTCGGAATGCGGCACTTTAATATTCCTGGACCATTCTGACGCAGCTCGAACCCCTGACAGCATGGAAAAGACAGTGCATTTTGCACGGTCTAGACCGTACCATTACAGTACTAAAAGGACTGCATCTCGTTTTCTACGGTTAAATGACAGCAAAATATCATTTACTATTGATGGATGGTCCGCATGTAGCAGGAAGGGTTCCTATGGAATTACTGCGCATTGTATTAATGCAGAGTGGATGCTGTAGTCCGTTTTATTAGATTTTGTCCCCGTGGAAGGAAAGCACTTCGGAGAAGCCATGACAGGTTTATTGTACAAAGTTTTGAAAGATCACGGCATTACTGACAAAATTCAGGGCATTACCATCGATAACATGGCTTCAAATTTTACGTTCATGCGTAATGTATAACAGTATGTTACCGATTTCGACAATGAAAACCAACATTTTGTCTGTTTTGCGCACATTTTAAACCTTGCTGTTCAGGACTTTTTAAAACTTTTAAAAATTGACATTCGAGAAAGTAAAGAAGAATTCAAAGCAGAGGATGATGACGCGCCTGACGAAAGAGTTACAGCAGACTCTCCTGCAGGAAAAATCCTACGTGTTGTGAAAAAAATTAAAAAATCTGAGCAGTTGCAATTAAAATTTAAGACTCTGGGAAATGGTCAATGTGACTATGAAGATGCCGGTGATAGATGTATGTACTGGTTAGAATTCAACATTTGAAATGCTGAACTGAGCTGTTCAATTAAAATGCACAATACATTTTTTTGTGTCACAATATAAGTGACTTAAAATGTTATAGAATAAAAGATAACGATTTGGAGCAAGTTGGAAAATATTTGAAAGTTTGTAAAAAGTTATCAACAATGATTTCTGGAGAAAAGTATTGCACGCTCTATGGTTGTAGTAATTAGTATAAATTTGCTATTAGACAAACATGAAGCCCGGGCTAAAGAACTTGATGAAAAACCCGGCGGAGATAATACAGCCAAGCAAATGCTACTTTGTTCACAAGCTGCAAGGGATAAAATTCTAAAACATTAAAATGAAACAAATTGGATGTATTGCGTCATTACGATTCTAGGTCCCAAGCACAAAGTTGAAACTTTCAGTGCAACTTCATGGGGAGAAAACTTAAAAAAATAGAAGCAATTGCACAGTTTGAAATAATATTTGAAACGAAGTATAAACCTGTACTTTAAGTTTTCCGAAAACATAAACAGTTTGGATGTGTAGACATTTCAAACATATCAAATGTTGATGAATATGATCTAGATTTTAGTAGGCTATTTAAGGTGAAGTGAAACCCCCTTCAAATCAGTCGATTCTAATACAACACTTTTTTTTAAAGGTATTAGACCAAACTATCCGAAACTTTGACACATCATTCCTGATCATCTAAGAACTGTCCTGACACATTGAAAATTTGGATTTTTGGAAAAAATTTTTTAACTTAGCCCAGACCAGAACCAAAATGGCGTTGAGCTCTCATATTTCGATCAATATACAATTATTGAAGGCTCTTATATGAGAAACTAAAGGGTCAAGACAATTTTACGACAACTTAGAATTCTCTGGTAATCGATAAACTCGAATTTCAACGGGATAAAGGCAAAGACAGTGTTGTATGCGCTTCTATGCTAAAACGATGGGAATACGAGGTCCCGGAGTGAAAATTTAATTGACCTGGAAATCACAGATGGCGCAGGGTGTCCCTCTGCAGTCAATTAGGGCCCCAGAAAGCATGAACCCAGAGGATTCCTGGAGTTTTACTTCGATTTCTTGATATTTATTGTACGAAAACGACAGGTGGAGTATGCCATTTGGTACAATATCTAATATAATTCTATACAACTGTCAATATAAAAACGAACGTCGGCAACGTAGGCATTTAGAAAAATCTTCTTTATCAACGTAGATCAAGTTCCTCGACGTGTTTCACTTCACCTTAACAAATCAAATGGGCCTGCTGTTTGGAGAAGAGAGATTACGGATTATCTCGTAGAAAAGCGAGCCGAAGAAAACGAAGATGTTTTAGCTTGGTGGCAGAAACGTTCAAATATTCATTCCAATTTGTCACAGATAGCGAAGATTTTTTTCAGTACACCTGTTACTTCCGCACCCGTTGAAAAGTGGTTTTGAAAGACTGAAGACTTTAACTGTTTCCAGAATTAGAAACAGACTTAACGAAGCATCCACAAGAAGTTTAATGTGCTTAAAATCGTGGATGTCTAACTAAGAGTTCACGAATTAACAATGCATTTAAAAATATTGTTGGTGTCATTTCATTAGTTTCACAAAGAATTCTAGTTTTACTTGTATTTTTGATATTATATTATGGCATTGTTTAATTTATTTTTCAAATTTATTAATGCGCTAAAAATCCAGTGTCAAATTAAGTGAATAAAAGTTGTATTTTTATTTGATTACGAAGAAAGAAACAAGCTTATATAGTTACATTTTTTATTTTACGTTTCATATTTATGTTACATTATAAAAACACGTTCAAGACATTTATACAGTTTGTTTCTTCTTCTTATCGTTTTTATAAAAATCTATAACAATGCAATCTTTATTTTTTTAATTCAGTACATATCTAGTAATAATTATACCTAATAGTGGTTTTCAAATTTTCAGTATTTATGACCAACCAACATGCAGGTAGCTAATGTTTTCTAATATCTTGTGAATGTATGCATACATACATACATACTGTGACGTGGTGAAATTCCCCACACATCACAAGGGGTGTACACAAACCGAAGTGCGGAGGGGTCCCCTTGGTAATCGTTAGGCTAAGGGTTGATGTAAGAAAATATTTCGTAAAGTGGCGTTAAGGAAGTAGGTACGGAGACGCCGCGCAACCGCCGAGGAGCGCAGACGTTTAAAAGGTCCCGAGGAGACGCGAGAAGCGTCACGCGATTTGGAGGACCTGCTGCCATCGGCCGGTGGCCAACCTATTTAGTCGGCCCAGTAACCCACTTCGGCGGGTCCAGAGGGCAGGCCGACACCCGGTCCTAGGTTCGACAAGACCCGCTAGGACATCGAGGTGGGAGCGGAAGTACTGCCGACGAAATCGCCATTGCTAAGGGGACAGCAGAACCAGCAACTCTATCCCGTCCCGACGATAGCCGTATCGAGGGGCCCGTCCCGTCCTGAAGGGGGTCCTACCGCCGACGACCCGCTGCACCGCCGTCCGGCCGAGAGAGGCCCTGTCCCGGACCGACCGACGACCGGTGAGCCCGAACCTGCCCAGGGGGCCTTCTAAGTCGCGCCTTTTGTTGTTTATTTCGTCGATTCCGCCGCAAGCCAATTGTTCGATCGCCAGTCACCGCGCCGCGTGAATTTTGGATTGTGAGTAACTCCGACGCGGGGGGGTCGGGATTATTCCGTCGCGTTCTCTTTTACGGTCCGTCCTCCCGGTACCTTTCGCGTCACTAGTGGCCTTCAAACCGCCTCTACCGTGCCGCACAAAGGCGTGACGACTTCCACGGGACTGAGTAGCCGGTGATCAGGGCCGTTTCCCGTCCCGCGGCGTCGGCCTTGCCCTCGCCGGGATTCGCAGGCCGCGGCGCGCTTCTCGCGCCTGGCGCCCCAATAGAAATAAAAGCGGCCCTGTGAACGTCGGGCTAATTTCCTTCGGCCGACCCCGCAGAGTGACGCTCCATCTGCGGACCCCGATCTTTTCCTCCCGTTTACCAGCGCGCCCCAATTATAGAATAACGCGTTGCAACACACACATACACACAAAATCTTGTGATTGTACACGCACGCGCGTGGAAGTATTTATATGTGCCACACAATTCCATACATGTTTTCAAGAAATTCAAGATTTTCTCGAAAGCTTGTCAAGAAATCTTGATCTTGAAATATAAAATGTTCATTCGACTTGAAATCATTTCCGATGATTTTAACTTAAAATTTTCTTGAATCGAAGTCAAGATCAAGAAATTTCTTGAAAACAATGAATCCCTAGTCGCTTAGGTCGTTTTGGGGCTAAGTAGCCGGATTCCGATTTTTCTCGCGGTTTTCCGGGAGCCGAGCTGAATGTCTTAGCCAGAAGAATCGACGGACTTGTGGTATGGTTCGACAGCATGCGGAGGCATACTTGGAGCATTAAATAAATTAAAACGAGCCGTTCCTCGTATTCGAATTCCATCGCCCGACCAAACTCGGAACTACCGCGGAAGAATTTCACGGAACACCTAATTTGCAGGGTGTGCAGTGCGTGACCCTAAGTCCCGTCGCAGTTTATGCAAAGTAATCGAAAACTTCTAATATTTCTGGTATTATAAAGTATTGTTCTGTACCCGTTCAATTAAAATTGTAAAAAAAAAAAGGTCGAAACAACGCCGGGATTAACTAGTACTATATATATTGTTTCACGTTCCCAAAACAATTATATACGGTTGTTGTACTGAATGAAAAAACGTGAGAAAGTTTCTAAGTTAATGTTCTACATTTGTTGCGATATAAAATGCTTAATGGAGGATAATATAAATTTTTGGTAAAAGAATATTTAAATTGACCCGCTGTGGACTGGTGTAAATATAAGGAACAGGTAACTTACTGGTCTCCTACAATTCGTAAACTACAATGTTTGCAAACAATTCGAGACCATCTTTTTTTTTAAATCTATCAAATTTTTAAATATTTGTTTACTTTAAATATCTCCGTATTTTTGCCGAATACAAATTCAACTGCGAAAAGCGATGAAATACATAACATTGTAAATGTAATTCTTACCAGCGTGTACCAAGAAAAGATCCTTGAGTAATCCAAGTTCCTTGGTCAGCATTTTAATTTTTTCTTCTAGTAATTCATTTTCTGACTTTAACTGCCCGACTCGTTCCAATGTTTGCTGCGTACGTAATTTACTTTTTACTCTGGATCGTTTTACTGCCTGCAGAAAGTATTAATGGTTAGAAAATGAAATTTAATAAGATATGTTAAGTCCTGATTAATTTTAATACATAAGTAAATTATAATTACGAAAGAAACGACTATGAAATGCGAATCCTGCAGCGTGCGAAAATAGGGTGCAGAGCTGGCATTCCAGGGAACGCGCGGGCTCGCGGGGCCCTCGACCTCTGCCATTGCGGCAAGTCTCCGCGCCCGAAACCCCGAATCAGCACCGGGTTCAGAGAACGGGAGTCGCTGGCGAGCTCTCGGAATCCGAAGACGCGGCAGAATGTAAATCCCACCTTTGCGGGGCCCTAAGTCGCTACTCCTAAGCCGGGAAGCGCTGGAAAACCTGCAGTTCGGTAGAACGCTCATTACTGTTTTAAAATTCAAAAGACTCACATCGAAAAAGATACGAGATCAAATCGTTCAGGAGGAAATAATCAGTGCTGTTACGTAGGCACCACCCATTACGAAATAGTCATAAACTGGTAACCCGAAAGGTAGCCATGGAATTCCACAAAACTAGCACGCGATTTACCAGTAAGATTGCGAAAGGAAGTCCTGAGTCCGCCAGATAGAAATTGCGCCACCAACCCAAGTAGACCAGGTCGCGATCAACCGGCCCGAAGCGCATCCTGATAACTCTGCAGCACATTGAACACCCTTGAAATCATCGCCCTCATCCAGATCATAGGAACCCCCACCAACCAAAACGCCATCAAAAATTCACCGATAAAAACCATCAACCGTTTTGATGAACTTTTACCTAATTGCAACGACTTCTTACTGATAATCATCGACCTCGAGTTTGGACTCTGTGGTTCTCGGCTCTCAGTTCTTAGCGAGTCTAAGACCGAAACCATCGAACTCGGAGAATCACCTGCACCTCGTGCTACAGTTGTGCTGCTCGGTACTCCGACGATCCAAGGGCATTAAGCTAGGAAGAGACGGCGGCACCACTACATCCGTAGGACGGGAGGCTTGTAGGAGACCTCCACTGCTAGGGCATGTCGCGAGCGGAAAGTGTTCACGCACAATCATCCGGCAGGTCGATCCAAGGACGTCACCGAACTTGGCCGCTGATTAAGCCAGGTACAAGCCCTTTCGCAAGCTCGGGTCACTTTCATATTTGACCTTAACTTCATCTTCCATTCCGATTAGACCTTCTTTACATTTACTAATTCCCTACCTATCTTCGGATAATCGGATAGAATAAGACCCTTTTGTACCTTCGTTCACAGTTGACACCCAAATCTCAGTGTTTTGACTCCTATTATACTCACGCGTAGCTCGTAATAGAAATAACGAGAAACTCTGCGTCAGCACTCCAGGCATCCAGTGACCTACCGTCACTGACCGCCTTATCGCGACACCCGAACCGCCGCAACGCAGAACTAAGACGAAATCGAGAAATTTAGGTTAAAGGGCCCAGATGGATCCCTACGATTTATAATAACCCTCTTTGACAGTAGACAAATACAGCTACTCTTGTCAACCTGTTAATAATCTCCATTCATTGAGCCCCTCTTTAGGTTATCACCCTTCACAGATCCTACCAGAGGATTTGGTCTAGCCGCTCGGACCATCTCCTCAATTCAATATCTAAAATCGTTACGCAGACGTTTCAGATAAAAGAACACCTGAATTCCCTCGGCCTCGATTCCCTCCGGCGGTCACGTAACACGTATATTAACAGAGGCATTTTCTGGTTAACTTCGATGAATATAAAGTGGCTTCATACTTGAAGCCTCTGTGAATTTGTCATCACTATGGATCTGATGGACTTGCATATTCAGGTATTCTTTCATTATATAACTCATCACAAATTACAAAAACATGTAAAACTACCACAAAACCACCTTGGATGTAAAAAAAAAAAAACTTATACCAAATACATCTCATTGGAAAAAATCACTTTGCAAAGTAGCATCTATATAGTGGCGACTAATCGCACAAAAACAATGAAATCAGTTACTTTGTCTAAAAATGTGCACTAACTGTTATATGCAAGATAAAATTGTATAAGAACATATCCATAAAGTAATAATTAAGCGCACAGTAGTAATGAATTGCCAAACACTTACACTATGTTACATTTACAATAATATGTTTTATAAATAAAAACACAATATTTGGCGAGCCTCATCAGTTATCCGTTTCGCAATACTTAAGGCTGGATTTTGCGGAACAGCTAAATTCAACGGAAAAGAAATGCCTCAAGAACTAAAATCTACCCAACTAAAAAAAGGAGAAGCTGTTACTTTTGCAACAGAAAATACCAGGTGTATAAGCTTAAATCCGCTGTTTGCTCATAGATTGCGTTAGTGAGGATATTAAGTTACTATGGACAAGCCACACTTTTTTTTGGTAGGAGTTTGACATCTGTCAACAATAATCAGTGCACATCATCAGCAATTTCATACAACAACATACATTTTTCCTTTGGTAATCATATCTAGTGTTTTACCAGAAAAAGAGCATATGCGGGAAGCTCTGCTTTTCTGCTTCAATTTGAAGAAATCGGCCGCCGAATCGCATCGAATGCTTGTGGACGCATATGGCGACAGAGCTTTATCGGAAACAACGTGCAGAGATTGGCTTCGTCGGTTCAAAGACGGCAATTCTAATCTGAGAAACAAGAAGCGTGAAAATCGGCCCAGGAAGGTTGAGGGCCATCAATTGCAGGCTTTTTTGGAAGAGGACGATACCCCATCGCAAAAAAAAAGGCTTGTCGAGCAATTGGATGTTACTCAATCAGCCATTTCCATGCGCCTACGTGCCATGGGAAAGGTTCAAAAGATCGGAAAATGGGTGCCACATGAATTGACCGATAGGCAGATAGAGCGACGCCAAAACACATGCGATATCTTGCTCGCCAGACAAAAAAGAAAGTCGTTCCTACATCGGAATGCGACTGGCGATGAAAAGTGGATATTTTTCGAGAATCCTAAACGCAAGAAATCGTGGGTTGATCCCGGCCAACCATCAAAATCGTCTGCAAGACCAAATCGCTTAGGACGGACGACGATGCCGTGCGTTTGGTGGGATTAGCCAGGGTATCGTCTACTATGAGCTGTTAAAACGTGGTGAAACTGTCAATGCCCACCGCTACTACCAAGAACTGATCAAATTGCAACGTGCTATGCGTGAAAAAAAGCCGGATTATCAGAAATGGCATGACAAGTTGATTTTCCACCACGACAACGCACTATCGCACACATTAAAAATGGTCCGAAACTACTTGGAGGCCCTCAACTGGGAGGTGTTACCCCATACCGCTTATTCACCAAACTTGGCCCCTTCCAACTACCACCCGTTTTCGTCGATGGCCCTCGCGCTCGTTGAGCAACACTTCGATTCTTACGAAGACATCTGACAATGGCTTGATGAGTGGTTTGCCTCGAAAGAGAAGGAATTTTTTTGGTGCGGTATCCACAAATTGCCCGAGAGATGGGACAAATGTGTAGCTAGCGAGGGCCAGTACTTTGAATAAATTCTTTTTTCGCTTTCTATGAAAAAAACATTTTTCGGACTAAAAAACAGCGGATTTATGCTTATGCACTTGGTAAATGTCGGTAACGTAGTGTGTAAGCTTGTGCTACCATTTGAGTATCTAAAATGGCGTTACTGCCAGAGGGGGGACCCTCACGATATCCGAATCCACTCCTATACCGGTGAGCCCATAAATTCTGGTCAAATCGCTACATTCGTAGAAAAGACAAAAATCAACCTCCCTCTCCTGAGGACACTTCTCCCAAAATTTTTCCCTCCGACCTCATCCCTCCAATAGGAGACTTCCCAAATCCCACTCATCCGCCGAAGACCCATTTTCCCATTTGTTTTCTCCAATGAGAGATTTTTGCAAACCCCACTACAACTCATTTCCCCAATTAAAAAAGATTTTTCCAAACCCCACTGGCACTCAGTTCTCCAATAAGAGATTCTGTCCAAACCCCACCATCAGGGATCAAATAGATTTTCTTACCACCACCAAAATTTTGGGACTCAAACGTCGGGGGTGGAAACCCTTTATAAGTTAGAACATAAGCAGCGAGCGACACTTCTTATTCGGAGTTCTTATTGACTCATTCAAAGATTTCCGGCTTATCCAAAGATTCACATAAACACTCTCTTACTTACTCGTATATTTTTCGAGACTCTTTTTTGAAACTTCGAGTCTGTTTTATCCATCCTCGACGCGAGTACTCAAGCCCGAAATTCTAAGACACTCTGCGGAACTTCAACTCTCGGCGCGCTCAATATCGAAGAGAGCCGACGTAAGCCCCTCGATCGAAAAATCCTTAGCCACTACCTTCATTCATGGATTACCCAGAGACATCACCCCCTACATAACCCCTCACCATCCTGACACCCGCGAGAAGGTACTTGATCTCCTCCTCGAATTCGAGAAAATAGAAAGGAGTAGGAGAGATCAGTCAGAATCTCCAGGACGATACAGTGGCCGGCGTGACGATTACGAAGCCCGTTCTCTAAATTATCGAAGCCCCCATAGGAATTCTAGGTACGAACAATTTAATAGAAACAACCAGAGGTTCATCTCATACCCCCAGATCCCTCGACCTCAGGATGGGTCCCGAGAGCGAGACCCCGAAGAACCCGCACGCTATCACAGATCCTATAGCCCGCGACCGGACACTCGAGAAGTATTCGTCAGCACCACGAGCCCGCCATTACCTACATTGGCCCCGAAAGTAAGCCACGACACTAACCTCGCGCACACACTTGCAGAATTAACCAATCAATTAAAGCTTTTACTCCCCGCGATCACACAGCCCACCAACAGATCAGACCAATATTCGTACACCCGTTATGACCCCGGAAGAAGACACAATATGAACACTTCCAGGAGTCCTACTCCGGACCCGCGAGGACTCAGTTCCAAAAGATATTGTCCGGGATGCCGAAAACCCGAACACTACGGCACATGTGGCGCCCCCGCAGATTTTCGCGAACGATCTGCATCACCTCGAGGAGTAT